TTTTTTCCAAGACAGAATCTCGCTCTGTTGCCCAGACTGGAGTGCAACGGCGCAATCCTGGCTCACTGTAACCTCCACCTCCTGGGTGGAAGCAGCTCTCCTGCCTCAGCCTCCCAAGTAGCTGGGATTACAGGTGCCAAAACCATGCCCGGCTAATTTTTTGTATTTCTAGTAGAGACAGGATTTCACCATGCTGGCCAGACTGGTCTCCAACTCCTGACCTCAGGTGATCCACCTGCCTTGGCCTCCCAAAGTGTTGGAATTACAGGCATGAGTCACTGTGCCTCGCTGTGAGGGAAGACTTCTGAAATCTGAGATAGGGATAGCACTTATCAAGGCTTTATCTTTCTCTCCCTCTGTCCTTCCCTGCCAGAGGTCCCAGGTCAGCGGTCAAGACTGGCCTCAATGCTTGACTCAGACACAGAAGGCGAAGGGGACATTTCGGGCACCATCAACCCCTCTGTGGCCATGGCCATTGCTGGTGGCCCCCTAGCCCCTGGCTCCCGGGCCAGCATCTCCCAGGGGCCACCAACGGTGAGTAGGGAGGCTTGTCCCCATAGATGTCATTCATTTTTAATGAGAGAAGCCATGTAACAAGATACATATTGGGCCAGGTGTGGTGGCTCACGCCTGTAATCCCAGCACTTTGGGAGGCCAAGGCAGGTGGATCACGAGGTCAAGAGATCCAGATCATCCTGGCCAACATGGTGAAACGCTGTCTCTACTAAAAATACAAAAATTAGCTGGGTGTGGTGGCGCATGCCTGTAGTCCCAGCTACTCAGGAGGCTGAGGCTGGAGAATCATTTGAACCTGGGAGGTGGAGGTTGCAGCGAGCCAAGATGGCACCACTGTACTCCAGCCTGGCAACAGAGCGAGACTCCGCCTCAAAAAAAAAATAAAGATACTGACTGGCCAGGATTCATCTCACATTGGAGAAAATGGAAATTGACTTTGATTCCTCTCCGGCCCCAGGCTTCTCGGGCAGGCTGTGCCCTCTCTGCTGAGTCAAGCCGGACCTTGCTGGCGTGTGTGCTGTGGGTGCTGAAAAACGCAGAGCCAGCACTCCTGCAGCGCTGGGCCACTGACCTGACACTCCCCCAGCTGGGACGTCTCTTGGACTTGCTGTACCTCTGCCTGGCTGCCTTCGAGTACAAGGTTCGAGGGTGTGGGCAGGAGATGATGGAGGGGGCAGGCTAAGGATGTACTCAGGGCCCAGGGTGCTGCAGGCTGAGTGGAAAGGGGTGGACTGTCTTTGTGCAGAGGACTCTGTGGGACTGAGAGTAAAGGGGTGGACTATTTCTGTGCTGAGCCGAAGAATCAAGTGAGAAATGCCTTTGTGAATAGAATTTGGAATGTCGAGGCCAGGTATGGTGGCTCACGCCTGTAATCCCAGCACTTTGGGAGGCCAAGGCGGGTGGATCACTTGAGGTCAGGGGTTCAAGACCAGCCTGGCCAACATGGTGAAACCCATCTCTACAGAAATACAAAAACTTAGCCAGGCATGGTGGTGCATGCCTATAGTCCCAGCTACTTGGGAGGCTGAGGCAGGAGAATCGCTTGAACCCAGGAGGCAGAGGTTGTAGTAAGCCAAGATCGCACCACTGCACTCTAACCTGGGCAACAGAGTGAGACTTCATCTCAAAAAAAAAAAAAAAAGATTTTTTTTTTTTAAGGGCCTGGTGCAGTGGCTCATGCCTGTAATCCCAGCACTTGAGGATGCCAAGCTGGCGAACTGCTTGAGCCCACAAATTTGAGACCAGCCTGGACAGCACAGTGAAACCCCATCTCTACAAAAAATACAAAAGTTAGCTGAGCATGGTGGTGCAGGCCTGTAGTCCCAGCTACGGAGGTGGCTGAGGTGCATCGCTCGAGCCTGGGTGATGGAGTTGCAGTGAGCCAACATCGCACCACTGTTCTTCAGGCTGGGCAACAGAGTGAGAAAGACTCTGTCTCAAAGAAAAAAAAAACTGGTAATTGCTAAAAATTTAGAGGAAAGGGGTAAACTGTCTTTAAGCACAGGGGCCCAGAGGTGAGAAAGGGCACAAAGAAAAAGATGGGGCCAGGCTGAACACGGTGGCTCACACCTGTAATCCCAGCACTTTGGGAAGCTGAGGTGGGCAGATCACGAGGTCAGGAGACCATCCTGGCCAACATGGTGAAACCCCGTCTCTACTAAAAATACAAAAATTAGCTGAGCGTGGTAGCACTGTGCCTGTAATCCCAGCTACTGAGCAGGCTGGGGCAGGAGAATCACTTGAACCCAGGAGTCGGAGGTTGCACTAAGCTGAGATCTCACCACTGCACTGCAGCCTGGGTGGCAGAGTGAGACCCAACTAAAAAAAAAAAAAAAAAGGAAAAAAAAAGGGCCAGCTCAGGTCCCACCAAAAAGAGCAGAGTCGACCTTGAACCCCAGTTCTCTGCCCTCCCAGGGGAAAAAAGCCTTTGAGCGCATCAACAGCCTCACATTCAAAAAATCACTGGATATGAAGGCGCGACTAGAGGAAGCCATCCTAGGCACCATTGGAGCTCGACAAGAAATGGTTCGGCGAAGTCGTGGTAAGAGGGTGACACAGCCACGTGTCCCCATCCCACCAGCTGCTCCCAGCTTGTGTCAAGGGACCCCATGAATGGGGCCGTCCCTCGCTTACTTTCTGCCTTACTTTTCCCGGAGAGAAGTCCAGGCGTCATCACTGTACACATGGGCCTGTGCGTCCCCATCTGTCACTCGTGTCTGCCCGTGTGTGTCCACCCAGCAGGCTTCTGCTCCACCCAGTGTCCTCTCGGGTCAGCCCACCCGAATATCTTCATTCCTGTGCGTTTCTCCTGGTGTTCACATGTGCCCTGTGTTTTTATGCATCTGTGATCACGCGCCCACGCGCCTCAGAGAGGAGCCCATTTGGGAATCCAGAGAACGTGCGCTGGCGGAAGAGCATCACACACTGGAAGCAAACCTCAGACCGCGTGGACAAGTGGGTGTGGGCGGGAGGCAGTCTGCTGGGTTCAGAATGGTTCAGGCTGAGGAGGGAGGATCACTTGAATCCAGGAGTTCGAGACCACCCTGGGCAACATAGTGAGACCCTGTCTCTACAAAAAATTTACAAATTAGCCAGGTGCTGGGCGCAGTGGCTCACACCTGTAATCCCAGCACTTTGGGAGGCCAAGGTGGTGGATCACAAGGTCAGGAGTTCAAGACCACCCTGGCCAATATGGTGAAACCCGTCTCTACTAAAAATATAAAAGTTAGCCAAGTGTGGTGGTGGGTGCTTGTAATCCTAGCTACTTGGGAGGCTGAGGCAGAGGCTTCAACCCAGGAGGAGGATGGAGGTTGCAGTGAGCCAAGATTGCGCCACTGTACTCCAGCTTTGACGATGGAGTGAGACTCCGTCTCAAAAAAAAAAAAAAATTAGCCAGGAATGGTGGCATATGCCTGTGGTCCCAGCCACTCACAAGGCTGAGACAGGAGGATGACTTGAGCCTGGGAGGTTGAGGCTGCAGTGAGCTGTGATCACACCATTGCACTCCAGCCTGGGCAACAGAGTGACACCCTCTCTCAGAAAACAAACAAAAAAAACATACATACAAAAAAAAAACCAGAACAGCTTCGAGGGAGCCAGCACCCCCAGACTGCCAGGGGAAGGAGAGAGCTCAACAATGGAATAGGATCTCACCGTGAGTGGGGCCCCAAGACCTCACTTCACCTTCCAGGACCAAGGATGAAATGGAACACGAGGCCTTGGTGGAAGGGAACCTGGCAACCGAGGCAAGCCTAGTGGTTCTGGACACACTGGAGATCATCGTGCAGGTAGGGCTTGATCCAGCATCTGCCTTGTGCTCTGAGCCCAACTGCAATGCTCTGTGATCTCTGACTCCATAATCCCTCTCCTTCCCTGTCCCCATAACCACCCTAGGCTCTAACACCAGGATCTCTGACTCCCTCCCTTCCAGACGGTGATGCTGTCAGAAGCCCGGGAGAGCGTCTTAGGGGCAGTGTTGAAGGTTGTGCTGTATAGCCTGGGCAGTGCCCAGAGTGCCCTCTTCTTGCAGCATGGCCTGGCCACCCAGCGGGCCCTTGTGTCCAAGGTGAGCACCACTCAACAACCATGATTCTTAGAAAGCAATAGAAGCTCTAGGCTGGTGCGGTGACTCACGCCTATATCCCAGCACTTTGGGAGGCCAAAGTGGGAGGATTGCTTGAGGCCAGAAGTTTGAGACCAGCCTGGGCAACACAGCAAAGCCCCTATCTCTAACAAAAATTTAAGAAATTACCTGGGACTAGGCATGGTGGCTCACACCTGTAATCCCAGCACTTTGGGAGGCTGAGTCGGGAAGATCATGTGAGCCTAGGGTTGGAGACCAGCCTGGGCAACATGGTGAGACCCCATCTCTACAAAAAAATCAACCAAGTGTGGTGGCATGCACCTGTGGTCATAGCTGCTAGGAAGGCTGATGATCACTTGAGCCCAGAAGGTCAAGGCTGCAGTGAGCCATGATCATGCCACTGCACTTCAGCCTGGTCAACAGCGTGAGAACCTGTCTCAAAAAAAAAAATGTTAGCCAGGCTGGCTGGCACACACCTGAGATCCCAGGTACTAGGGAGCTGCTAGGGAGGCTGAGGCAGGAGGATGGTTTGAGCCTGGAGTTCAAAGCTGCAGTGAGCTGTGATCACACTACTGCATTTCAGCCTGGGCTACAGAGTGAGACCCTGTCTCAAAAAAAAAAAAAAAGTACCTCAATCATTGAGCACTTACTGTGTGCTCTGCAACTCCATGGAGCAGACTGCTTTGCCACAGTTTACAGTGGAAGGCAGGCAGGATCAGAGTGGCCAAGTCACTCGCCCAGGGTCACACAGTAAGGTGCTTAAACCCAGGTCTGACTCCGAACCCAGTGGCACTTGGCCAAAGAGGACAGAACACAAACAGACGTCTCTGCCCAAGCAGTCCTCATTTGGGCCACTCCCCTTGTGAGCCAGAATGGGGAGGGGCTGGACAGTGTCTGTCTGGGTCCTGGGGGGCAGTTCCCGGAGCTGCTGTTCGAGGAGGACACGGAGCTGTGTGCCGACCTGTGCCTGAGGCTCCTGCGACACTGTGGCAGCCGCATCAGCACCATCCGCACACACGCCAGCGCCTCGCTGTACCTGCTCATGCGACAGAACTTCGAGATCGGCCACGTGAGTGGGGCAAGGAGGTGTGGTCCACACAGGGCTCTGGTCAGGGTGGCCAGTGGGTGGCCATAGAGGGAGTGAGAAATGGGGAGGCAGTCACTGAGCCAGCATCTGCCTTGTGCATAACGGGCAAGAGGAGGGCTCAGAACGCAATTGGGGGTCAGGTGCCCTGGCTCATTCCTGTAATCCCAGCATTTTGGGAGGCTGAAGTGGGAGGATCACTTGAGACCTGGAGTTTGAGGCTGCAGTGGGCCATGATTGCACCACTACACTCCAGCCTGAGCAACAAAAACAAAGGCAGGCTGGGCATGGTGGCTCATGCCTGTAATCCTAGCACTTTGGGAGGCTGAGGCAGGTGGGTCTTTTGAGGTCAGGAGTTCAGGACCAGCCTGGCCAACACGGTGAAACCCTGTCTCTACCAAAAATACAAAAATTAGCCAATCGTGGTGGCATGCACCTGCAATCCCAGCTACTCAGGAGGCTGAGGCAGGGGAATCTCCTGAA